AATCTCTTTGCAGACGTGGGCGAGCTTATATACGAGCTTCCGCAGCTTCTCGTGCGCCGCCTCGGCGCGCTGCTGCTTCGGGGTCACCTGGTTCATCACCACGGGGCTCGACGAGCCGGGCTGCGGCCGGAAAGCCTGCTGCAGTCTGATCTGCCGTCTCTTCAGCGCCTCCTCGAGCGCTGGGAAGATAACGTCGTTCAGCGCGTCCAGCTCGCCGTTGGGGTTCGACGGCGCGGGTGAGGGGAAGGCGGACGGGGCCGGCTCCGGCGTGGGCGTCTGTGTCTTTGAAGGCAGCGCGTGGGCCTTGGACGGCGGAGGCGGCGGCGCCTGGCCCGAGGGCTGCCGGAAGTATTGCCCGTTTGGTGACTGGCTCGATATTCTGGGCGACATCTGTGAGGCCTGCGGCGGCCCACCGCGGTAGGGCGGGATCTCTGGTAGCGCCATGGGTGCCAGCTTGGTATTGGAATTGGGCGGTCTTGGCCCGTGAGGCGGTGGCCGGGGCGTCATCTCCTGCTCTCGCAACTCCGCCGGCTGGATCACAGGACCCAGACTCAGCAAGCCCATGTCTCTCTGCAACTGGGCCTGCAGCTCTCGGTCGTAGTCCGGCGATTGACTTACGGGGACGGCGGGAGGAATCAGTCGAGAAACGGGCCTTGGCGTCTCTGGAGCTCTCTGGAACTTTTCTGGCAAGACTGGAAGAGGCACCTTGGCCGGTGACTGCGGCGCGGTGGTCGGCACTGGTTTCCGTTGTGGTGAGGCCTGTCGAGAGGTTCCCGTATTCGCAATGGCCGCCTTTAGAGTATCTGAAGCGAGAGCAAGGTCACGACCAAACTCGCGGACCTTGGTCGGGCTGTTGTCCCTTGGCCGTTCTCCGTAGTCATCCGTATTCTCGATTGATCTCGCCGCCCTGGAGTTGGCAGCCGACTCGTCCAAGGCATTGAGTCCAGGCCGCGGAACGAGACCGCCTCTGTCGCCTACGAGCCGTACCGTGCCAAAGTCCCACATGTCCTCGTCTACCTGCTGTCGCTCGTGGTATTTCTCGTTCTCCTGGTCGCTCTCCTCGTCATCGTTCTTGTGGGTGGTGGCCCACCGGGAGTGCCGCTCAATCAACTCTGTGAGATAGCTCGTCTTCTTAGCGCGGCGTATAAAGGGGTGCTTGAGTAGATCCTTTGCCGTGGGCCGGTCCCTCGGGTCCCTTTGTAGACAGGCCTCGATGAAGTCCTTGAAGGCCTTGGTGAAGTTCCCTTCCAGCCGCGGCGGCGGATTCTTAGGGATCAAGAACAACACCTTCATGGGGTGGATGTCGGCGTAGGGGGGCTCGCCGTTGGCCAGCTCGAGGGCAGTGATGCCGAGCGACCACACGTCAGCCTTGTGGTCGTAGCCCGATTGCTTAATGACCTCGGGCGCCATCCAGAAGGGGGTGCCCACGAACGTGTTTTTCTTGGTCATTGTCGCCGAGAGCTGTCCGGAAACGCCAAAGTCGGCGAGCTTGACCTGGCCGTTAGAGCTCAGGAGCACGTTTGCAGCTGGTCACCGTTAGCAACACCGCCTGCGACATAGCTTTGCTTGGAGGTACAGACCTTTGACGTCGCGGTGCAGTTTCTTGTCCGAGTGTAGATAGTCGAGGCCCAGCAGCAGCTCACGGATGATGATGGCAATGTAGTCCTCGCCGATCAAGCCTGGCTTCATCAGGTCGGCGCAGCTCCCGCCGGAGCAGAACTCCATGACGATCCACAGCTCGGCGCCCTTGGCGTAGGACCCGTAGTACTTTGTGACGTAGGGCGACTGCAGCTCCGACAGGATGGCGATCTCCTGGATGATGTCTTCGACCTCGTCCTCGGCGCTCTCGATGTCGATGATCTTGATGGCGACGGCATGGCCGGTGCGCTTGTCGACGCTGCACACGAAGGCAATTGTCAGCTTGCGATCTAGACAGACAGTCTGGTGCGTGCCGGGAGAGGGATCATGCACACTTACCCCTTGTAGACCTTGCCGAAGCTTCCTCCGCCTGGGAAAACCTGTGTGTTAGCGAGATGCCGCCTCAGGCGCGCAGGGACGGCGCATACCGATGCAGTACTCCTTGGTGTAGAGCAGCCCGGGGTCGAGGGCCTCGTTGCCCTCCTCCATGTCCCTCTCGCGATCTCCCATGTTTGCGGCTCGCAATCGCGCAGTGGTGGCCTATGCAGCAATCCGTGTGCTGGCGCAGCAGAGCCGTGGTTCGTTGTCGGGTGCGTAGCCCAGCGCGAAGTCGGTGCCGCGGGGTTGCGATGGAGGAGAAGCCGTCGGCGACGTTGGCGGCCGTGGAGAGTTCGTCTGAGTCGCAGGGGCGGTTCGTCGCTGCCCAATTGAAGTTTGACAGTCGCTCGGAAGATTGCAGGGCAAGAAACTCAGTCTTGCTTCCGTGCTCGGACGAGGATGGGAGGAACCAGGAGGTTTGAAGAGGGGATCCTGGGATTTGGCGGCGGCGGCGGCTGGGGGAGGGGGGAGGCGGTGGGGGACGACGACGACGACGACGACGACGACGACAGCGACAACGAACGACGTTGACGACGGATGCAGCCGTTGTGAGCTGAATGTGCCGGCAGACAGAGTCGAGACAATCTGGGGACGAACGACAGAAGGGGCGCCGACGGGACGGAGGTGGAAAGGAAGCGATCTGGGATTAAGGCGCACAGTTAGCCTCGAGATCCTTCTAGTCGGGAGCACCTAACGGTGGCTAGCTCCAGACGGGGCGGGTTGGTGCAGCTGGAAGTCGTACGTTTCGCCGCGTGTCTCTGGATGGCTTCTTCAAAGGGAAGTCGACCAGAAACAGAACATACCAAAAAGGGATGTCGCAGAGGCAGCGAAAGAGAGAGACACTCTAGCGGGCCGCGGCAATTCGCATTCCTCAGATGTCGATGTCGAGATCGAGGTTGTCGTAAACTCGTGGCGGGAAGACGTCAATCGGTGTCTCGCTGTGCCCAATTTCACAGCTGGAAATACGACCAAAACAACGGACGGTGAGGAAGTGCCAAAAAAGGAAAGCAAGCTCCTGCACAGGTGAGATGAGATGAGGTCAGGCAAGGAGAGGAGGAGAGGGTCAGTTCGCAGCTGCTGCAAGGGCCTAAGAAGGAACGAGCTTTAAAAATAAAAGTGCCGCCGAGTCGCTGCTCTGAGGTGTTGTGCCTTGCTCCGGAGCAATACACACAAACACAAGTACACACAATATGGCAACTTGCAGTGTTTCATGGGATTGATATGGTCGATGACAAGAGTCAGGCGAGAGAGAGAGTTGAGAGTTGAGAGAGAAGGTAACTTGGGGGCAGAACGGTGTGTGGTGTGGTGTGTGACGCTTTTGGGTGTTGGCGCTGGCTAGACTCGACGCGATGGGGGAACGGACGCAGGAACACACGAGGAAGAGTGTGGGGTAAACAGCCTGCGCCGCTCAGGGACAAAGAAGCGGCTGCGAAGGCGTCTGTTGATGTTTGTGGTGTTTGTGGTTGTGGTGGTTGTTTTCTTCGTCATTTCCCGTTCCATTCATTCACAACTGACCCCCTGACGCTAAAAAGGTACTTGATGATTGACCACAACTCAATCCGATGCAGCTTCACCTAACGACTGTCCATTCGAATGCACCACGGAAACACGCAAAAGTCACTATTTCTGCTGTCCATCTTACTGTTGCCAGTCAATATCCACCAAAGCTATTCATCCAATTCCGTCCAATCGACTCGGGCGGTCTTCCGTCACTGGGAACGAGGTGCATCCCATTTGTTTACACCCAGCCGAGAGGGGTCGGTTCACCAGCAACCAGCCGCTGTTGATGTCAAACCTTTTCCCCTCACTGGGCCGCCCCCCCCCCCCCCCCCCGGCAAGCGATTCACAGTTGCTACCCTCCCCCTGTCCAGTAAAAACGTCAGCGCTCTCCATCACCCAAAAACAATGAAGCCTTGGGTAAGGGTGTTAAGCGAGCGAATGGGACGCACGGGCCAGAAAGACAGGCACCTCGAGAAAATCACCAAAAAAAAAAAACATGGGAAAGCTTCTGAACCGACAAGTCTCCGCACCCTCCTGATTGGCTGGCTCTACACTCGACCACTACCCAGGAACCCGTTCGCGACGCCCGCTTGATTGGCTACCAGACGCGCCTTCTCACCACGGTGAACCGCGGTGAAACGTCCTCATCTCAGGTGTATGCAGCTTTCTCTGTTTCTTTGGGTGTGATGCCGAGGCCTCTTTTGACTTTTACCAATGCAAATCGATAGGCCATGAGCCATCGTATCCAATCCAATACAAGAGAATCAGTACGGTTAATACAAGACCATCGTTCATAGGTTTGTCGAGCCCACGATAAGCAACGGAATAGAAAAAGAGCAACAAGGGCCGAGGAGGCAAAAAGTTCAGCCAAAATTCAATGAAAACCCGCAGATGATTCTTACCAATCTCAAATATAACGATGGCCCATTATCCTAAACCAGCGTTGAGACTTCCAACTCACTTACATATGGACTCTGGGCGTTCTATCTTGGTCACTCGACAAGGTGGGGTGCCTGGTAACCCCCCAATGGTTGGTGAAAATTCGCGAGTTGATAAAGCCGTCCAGTGAAGGGGCCTCAGGATCCCTCTGAAAGAGTCGTTCACCCTTCACGTCGCACAAAACCTTTCTACTGTCTGTCTCCGAGGTCTATTGATGCGCCTCTGTAAGCTCGTCTACCCTAGTTGCCGAAGGAGGAGACGCCCCCCATCTCGGCACTTCCTCTGTCTGTATTCGGCGGATTACGTCCCAGCCCGCCTGTGCAATCATCATCGAGCCAATGCTGTCACCGTGTCATCGTGGTATGTGTATGTGAAATGTCCTCTAGTGAAGCGACAAAACAAGAAAAGAGAAAAAAAGGGAAGAAAACCAGTCGTCCTCCCTGTACCATCTATCGGTCATGCTCTCCCGGCCCGTGTGAACTCATGCGCGTTGCCCCCAAAAACGGCTGTCATTATCGATCCGTCACTCGTAACCTCGCCAAACCCTAGTCCTCGATGAACTCAATCATGACGGTTCCCTGCTTGAGGCCGGCCTCCATGATGGTCTTGTCCAACTCCTCCGTCAGGTCCTGGCCCTGCGGCATGCGCTTCAGTTCGAACTCAACGCCCTCCTTGCCCTCCAGCGGCTCTGCCTTGAGCCACTCATAGATGCGTCTGACCGTGTCGTCCAGGTTGAACCGCCGGATGACACGTCCGGTGGGGTGGCGGAACTGTATCCGCGTCGTCGTGGCGGGGTTGTTCTCGGGCTCTGTGTGGGGCTTGTCGCTTGCGATTTTGGCCCAGATGCTCTGTGCAGGTGCCTCCGCCGTGGGGGTCGTCGCCTCGTCCGCCGCAGGGGCCTTGCCCTTCTCGCTGGATGAATCCGACTTGGTGAGCGCGTCGGGGTCGAACACGCTCGTCTTGGGCTTGGAGCTGCTGCTGCCGCCGCCGTTGGACGTCTCGAGACTGTTCTGCAGCGCCATCTCCAGCATCTCCTCCTCCGTCATCCGGTCCACGTCGACCGTCTTGGGCCGCTGCGTCGTCTGGTCCGCGACAGGGTTCTTGCTGTTCGCCGCCAAGCTGTAGCGGTCGAGGAACTCGGCCAGCTGCGCGTGGAAGTCGGTGGCGGTGGGGAACGGCCGTCCGCTCCAGACCTTGACCTGCTCTCCTGTTCTCGGATCGATAATGGCGACGTGGGGGTAGTTATCGGGGTTCTCGTGGCCACCGTGGTGGAAGTAGAACGTCACGTACTGCTGTGCGGAGATGGAGGACTTGTCGTACTGGAGAAAGATGAAGCTCTCTGCCAACAATTGCCTGATGGCGGGGTCTTTCCAGATGTCGCGGTTCAGGGCCTGGCAGTTGAAGTCGCTCATGTCCTGCAGGTTGACCAAAATCCACTTCTTATCGTCCTTGCCCTCCTGTCGTGCCTCGTCCCAGTCCGATCTGGACATGATATCGTAGGGCGGGCGGAAGAGCTCCGCCAGTCTCTGAGCGCGGGCACCGCTTTCGGTCGCGGCTGGCTGAGGCGTCGGGGTGTCGTCGTCCCAGATGGACAAGTTATGACTGAAGGGACCACCACCTGCGAACAAATCTTGTTAGCCTCCAGCAATATGGGACGCAATGGCAGCATGTCGCTTACCTCGTGCTGCTCTCGCCGCCTCTCTCTGGCGCATCTGTGCTCGGATGATGGAGTCCATATCCATACCCATGCCGTCGTCGGCATCGTAGCCTCCAACCAGCGTCTCCGTAGTTCTGGCGATGGGCGATCTGACCTCGTCGGGGGCAGCTCCGCCTCCTCCTCCGCCGGCGCCACCACCATAGAGCTCCTCTTGTAATTTCTTGGCCATGGCGGCATCTTCCTCCTCCTGCGCGTTCCGTGCAATAGCCTCGACCTGGGCCTGGGCGGCGATATCGGAGTCGTCTTGGCCAAACGTATCGTCATCGTCGTCGACGGTCATGGCCGTGTCGCCGTCGTCATCGCTGTCTATGTGGATAATTCCGCGGTCGTCTTGGCGGCCGATGTTTGGTCGGGTAGCTGCGGGGACGGGTGGTGCTGTGGACGCGCTGGCGGCAGGAGCGGCGGTGAAGCTACTCGCGAGGTCGGGGCTCTCGAAAAAGAGCTGGATGGCCGACTCGAGGTTGTTGTTCGCCATCTCGAGGTAGCCACGGGCAGCCTCCGGACTGGCGGCCGTGATGGCGACGAAGTTGGAGATGTCCTCGTCCATGATTGTGGTTTGCGCTCGGCTGAGGGTAGGTGCTCGGTGTGCCGGTGGGTGTTTGATTAAGCAGTGTCGAATGAAGCCTCTGGCAGCAGAAAAGCTTGCGTCGGACACGAATATTTCGGTGGCGGTCAGAGAGGTGAACGCAGAGAGGACTTCGGAGCAGGAAGACGATGGCACCTCTGCCCCACCTTCAACCGAAAGGCAGTGGACGTGGAGTATCCGTAATCCGTGGGTGGTGTTCTGCCACAAGGCGAGGGGCGAGAGGCGAGGGGCAGCTGCAGGCCTGGGCTGTCCGTGTGCTTCAGTGGCCCGTTTGGGTTGATGACCTCTTTGGCTGTGGTCCTTTCAGGCGTTTCAAGAAAGTAAATAGTGCGGCTCCGGACACAAAGAAATATGAGTCCTGGGTGTGGCAGCCGTGGTGAATTTGATACGGAAAAAAAAAGGGTGTCTGCGCGCCGCAGAAGTGTTGTCGTGGTTGGTGTTGGTTGTTGTTGCTGCTGCTGCTGCTGCTGGATGCGGGCTTCAAGGCTTGTCCCAGCGGCGCAGGTGCCAGGTGCTGCTGTTGCCGAATCAGTGCCACCCTGAAGGCGCCAGCTCAGTGACGCAACCGCCTGCCCACTGTGGTGAAATTAGGCGTCGGTGCGGTGCGGCCTGCAGCGGCTCGGGAGAAAGGCGGAATGTTTTCGCGGTGACATAATCCCGCTTTCTAGCCACACGGGACAGGCCGCAAGGGTCCTCATGCTGTGGCTAGTGCTCCTGGAAGTGCTAAGCCACCTTGAAGCCATCACCATCACCTAGCAGCAATAGTATTTCAAAAAGCCATTTCAAAAAGCCATTTCAATTCCTAAAGCTCAAGAAAAGGGTATCTTGCCCCTTGGTTTCCAGTTCTATAAAGATCACCATGGTCTCGCCTGTCATCTTTCGTCATCCCCCGTCAGCTATCTCAGCCTCTACTTCTCAAGCTCCGCAAGGATCTCCTTGAGATGCTTCTGCACCTCCAACGACCTCTCACCCTCCAGCATGTTCTTCACCGCCTCCTTGTACTCCTTCCTATCTTCCGCCGTAGTCGGCCCAAACACGCCCCGCTGCATCGCCTCGAATACCTGTCCCAGAGCCAGAACCCTCATCGTCCGCTGCGACTCCGTGCCGTTGTCAGGCTGTTCAAGGTCCAGGCTCTTCAAATACGCTTGAGCAGTCGCCTTATCGCCCGTAGCAGCCTTTGGCTTGGGGGCCGCCTTCATCAGGTCCCTGACGCACTCGTACCACGCCTCCCGCTTGATAGCTGCAAACTTGTCGCTCGCAAGGTACAGCTTCAGCAGCTCAAACACCTTATTAGCCACAGCGCCGGGATCTTCCTTCATCTGAGGCCGGTTGTAGCCCCTAGCGATGGCCTCAACGCCATTGACGGCAGCCTTGCGGAGCTTGTCCCCGGACCCGTCGACGTCCATCCTATCCTCGTCGAGTATGTCGTCCAGGACGCCGCTGACGATACCTGAAATTTCCTCAAGCATGTCCCGGTCCTCTCGCTGCTCGGCAAACTTCCACAGGGCCTTGAACGCGTGCGGCCGGTAGTCCTCGTTGTTGCGCTTCGCCTCCCGCACAGCAACCTTCAACTGCTGCGCCGCCACGGCGGGGTCGTTCTGCCAGAGGCTCTGCCCCTTGCCGACAAACTGCGGGTACGAATCTAGCAGCTTCTCCTTGCCGGGGAACGTCTTCACCGCAAGCGCCTTATCGAAGATGGGCCAGATGACCTTCAAGTTCGCGTCGGAAATTTGACCGGTGGCGTCGCTCGAGTTGACGACCGCCTTGACCATTGCCGCAATCGTGAAGGACGCGGTATGCTGCAAATTCCAACGAGGCGCCTCGAGGCCCCTCTTGACGAAGCCGACAATCTCGGGAACGTAGCGCGCAACGGTGCGGGAGCTGCATCCATGCTGGCTCCATACCTCATCGAAGCACTTGCGCGTGTAGTCGTCCGTGTCGTGGAGGCCCATGTACGTGAATGGGATGAACTTGGCCGCGAGCCTGTTGAAGTGGTCGGGAGCAAGCTTCGAGACGCCAAGAACCACATCAGCGACCTTGGCGCGGCGAGCCTCGTCCTCACTGCCAAAGTACAGCTCGACAAACTTATCAACCAACCGCTCCTTGGACGCGTCGGGGACGATGCGCATAAGATATCCCACGGCGCGCGCGTAGCCCTTGCTGACCTCGTCGTTGCGGTCCAGGGCCTGCTTCTCCATAAGCTGCATGAATTTGGACGAGACGGGCTTGAAGTCGACGGCGTGGCGCATGACCAGGTCGCCGATGAGTCGGGCGCAGGCAATCTTGGTGGGCATGCCGATGGCCGTCTTAATAATATCCTCGAGCTTGGGCGCAAGCTGCTCCATGCCCTCCCCGTCCAGCTGGCGAAGGCAGTTGTCGATGGCCTCGGAGATGGGGGACTGGTTGACCCATCTGGCGCGCAGCTTGTCGAGCTGGTCCCTGGAGTCCTCGCTGACCTTCTGGTAGGCGTAGTTGATCTGTTCCGGCTCGATGGTGCTGTGGAGACCGAGCAGAGGGGGGATGAAGTCGACGATGAATGGCTCCAGGTTAGGACCGCCCTTCTTTGTGATGTCGATGATGGTCTTGAGCGAGAACATCTTGACCTCGTCGACGCCGCTCTCGAGGCCGCTGGGGGAGAGGAGGAAGCGCAGCGCTTGCTTCAGCATTGCCTGTGCCGAAGACGATGATCCGCCTTCCTCGAGCTGTCGGACGATGGTGTTGGTCAGGCCCATGCATAGCTTCAGCGCCGCCTCGCGCACGGAGCCCTTGACGTCGTCGAGAACCTTGAGCGCAGCAGTCCATATCTCGGCGTAGTACTGCTCGTATTTGTGGAACGGCTGCCCCGAGATGAGGTCGGAGATGGCGCCGCAGCTCGCCTGACGGACGCGCCACTCCTTTCCAAGGACGTTCTTCAACAGGTCCTGCATGATGGCGTCGAAGTGGGTGCTGATCGTCTCGTTTGGGTTCTTGACGAGAGCCTTCCAGATGTCGTCCATGGACCGCTGGACGTTGGAGTTCGGGTCAAAGCGGTAGCGGAAGAGCTTGGGATACAGCTTCGGGTCGACCTCTGACTCGGAGAGAATGTTGCTCAGGCCGAATCTGCCAAATGCGGAGCGCGTTGACCAGGTCGCCGCGTTGGTAGCGAGTGACATGAACTTGTACACCAGGCTCTGGTCACCGACCTCGTTTGCAAGGCTGACGATATCCTTGTATGAGGTGACAGACTTGCCCTCGCCTGTGGGCAGAGCACCGGGCTCGAAAAGCTCCGTCTCCTCCTCGACCTTGATCTGCGTGCTGTTGCCGGTAAAGGCAGAAACCAAGTCCCTCGTTAGATCCTGCTTCAGATCCTCGTCGCCCTTCTCGTATACCAGCGCCAGACCGCGCGAGGCAGTCTCCTGCACCAGCTCGTCTCTCGCGCTGAGGAGCCGCATGAAGGCGACCTGGGCCTCTCTCAAACGAGACTGAACCTCGGCCAGGTGGCCGCAGTACTGAACCACGCAGAAGAGCCATATACCGGAAGCCTTAAGCAGGGAGGGTTTCGTTGTCTTGCAGTCTTTGAACAGCTTGTCGAGGACGGCGGTGACTCTGACGCTGCGCTTTTCTTTCTTCCAGGATCCGGCAGGGGCATCGACGTTGAGGGTGAGTTTGACAAAGTCCGAGTCCCAGCACGCGATGGCGGCCGTGATGGCCTCGCCAACGGTGAACTGGATCTCTGTCTCGCGTCTGGTGTGAAGACCGAAGAGAACGCGGAGGACATTGTCGATGCCGGAAGTCTTGCTCGACGGGTACAGCAGGCCGTCCTCGGGCGTTCTGTCCTCATTGGGCTCGTTGAATGCAAGCGCAAGCCGGCCCAGAGCGAAGATGGCCTTATCGCTCCCGGCTGCTGCCTTCTCCCCGAGCCTCTCAATCACGTAATCAGCTGTGAGGTTGTTAACATTGTCTGGGATGTACTGCGAGAGGCCGGCGGTCCAGAGCTCAGCGTAGCAGTCGAGGATCGCGTCCTCGAGCGACGGGCGGTGGGAGCTCTTATCCATAAGTAGCTTCGACGGCAGATGGGTATCGGCCGGGATGGGCAGGCCGTAGTACACGGCCCTGGAGAAGATGTGCCCGAATGCCTGTATGGAGCCCTCCACCGCGTTTGCATATGAGCCCACTGAATTCTCCCATGCATAAGTCGTGGCCTTGAGGTTGTGCAGGAACTCCTGGATGTGCTGGTTCCTGACCTGCTTGGCGGCTGTCGCATCAGGGATGTCCAGATCCGCTTTGTTAAGAGGATGAGGAACCAGGATGCCACACGCCTGAGCCGCGAGGAAGCGAATGTGACGGTTGTTGTTTCTCGTGCATGCTTGCAGAAGGTGTGCGTTGCCTGCAATGTGGTTGATGGCGCCTGAGGGGGAAAGCGAGGCGATGTCGACGAGAGAGCGTAGACAGCTTTCGATGACGGGGTTGGCGCCCTCCTTGTTTCTAAAGCGGACGCCGTCGAAACAGACCTTGATCAGCAGCGCGACGTTCTCTTCGTCGATTGAGCGCAGGTAAGCGCGAATTTTGTCGCGGGTCTTGATGTCGTTCCGGACTTGGGTGTCGAGCTGCTCAGCCCATCCGGGGACGAGCTGGAAATCGGGGAGCGCGGCGACGAACAAGGCCCTCTTGACGTACTCCACAGCTACGGGGTATGCCGAGATCTTCTCGCCTTCAAAGTTCTGAATCGTCGCCTCATCCTCAAACTCCAAGTTGTACTTCTTCGTCGCGTTAGTGAACTCGTCACTCGTAAAGTCGTCCGAGATCTTTTCGCAAAAGAAGTAGACCATCAGCTTGATCCAGTCCGGCATCTTGTGGTCCTCGCCGTCCCGGTACGTCCACGGGTCCAAGCCCTTGCGGCCCTCCTCGACAACTTCCGTCCTCTCACCCCTTCGTCCGGCGATGGCGAGAATGTCGATCCATCGTCCCCTCTCGTCCCACGATGCAATGGTCTGGTTAGCCCACTTAACGGCCGAAAAGCGCGCGCTACGCACCGCGGGAGCGTCTTCGGACAGGTTCATGTAGTGCAGCAGCAGGGAGATGAGGCTCACGTTTCCGCTGCTGCGTCCGTCGCCGCTGACGGTTTTGGGGTCGAAGCTCCTGGTCAGTCCCGAAAGCGAGCCCTCGATGTTAACAACCGTCTCGTTCGTGGGATCCTCCGAGAGCGAGCGGAAGAGCCAGCCTACGAGGTGCAACTTATCCTGTGCTGACCCAGGGCTTCCCATTCCCAGAGACCCCAGGAGATCGTAGGCCATGGCTCGAAGAACCTCTTCGTCTGCAGACAAGGTGCGCGGGGAGGGCCAACCTTGGTCCTCGACGTATCCGCGCATCATGTCGATGAGCTTAGAGCCGATCGTGAACGGTCCTTGAGTCGGGCCCCGCGTAGCTGTCCAGCTGACAAAGTGGAAGAGGGCCTTGTGGAGCTTGTTTCGCTCGAGGCCACTGGCAGCTTGAAGATGGGCAGGGGTGTTTGAGGTAGTCTCGGTGCCGAAGTCCAGCGTGACAACGGCGTGGATACGGTCGTGCATTGTCGTCGCAAGCGTTGACCTCGACAGCAGACCGAGGATTCTAATGCGGTGCGGCGCTGGAAGTCTAGCGTGAGAGTTGTAAAGCTCCTCGACAATCTCCCTCTTCTCAAAGTCAATTGTCATTCTCTTCAAAATGTCCTCTCCAACCTGTGAAACCTGGTAATCCGGGCTCGCGGCAGCAGACAGAGCGGGCAAAAGCCTCTCCTCATCCTTGAACGCTCCGCTCGCTAGCAACTGCGCAATCTTGCGGCGCAAGTCCTGCATCTTCTGGAACGCCGATGCCGTGTCACGCTGCTCAGGCTTGAGAAAGTCCAAATCCTCCGGGGCGAGTGCAGGGTTCATCCTCTCAAAGTCCTGGCGGCTGGGACTTGAGCCTCCGGGGATCCTCAGGAGCAGCACCTTGCCGAGCCATTTGGCGATGAACGCGGCGTCCGCATCGTCGGTCAGGCCGCTAGCCTCGCGGAACGCCATGTCCTCCTCGCTACCGCGTGATGGAACCTGGATGTCGGGGAGAATCTTGAGGAGAACGTTGAACATGGACGCTTGGGTCGGCGACGGTGATGAGATGCCCTCGGCGACTTTGCTGACGAGGGCGCGGCGGTCGTAGTCTTCCATACGGCCAATGCTGTGTTGGATGAATGACATGTCCAAGACGCGCAGGATGGGTGATGTGGCTTTTTTGTACTGATCGACCAGAGCCTCAACGGGCAAAATGATGCTGTCGCCACCGTCAGTCTGGCCAGATCTCAATCAAACCAGCAGAATCGTCAGGGAACAACCGGCATACCTCGGATGCATGATGAGCGTCTTCATCTTTCCAGCAAACTGGATAACCTGCGGCGAGCATTAGAATCAATTGAGTCCATCAAAGCCAGGTGTTTCTCTCACCTCATTGCGAACTGATGCATGGTCGCTAGTCGCTTTCAGCAGCAGGGCGCACAGGTACTTCTTCAGAATGTCGTTGAGCTTGTCCTCCTTGTTCGAGGCCTCGAGGATCCGGATCTGGACGGTCCCCACGAGCCTCTTCTCCCGCGCCTCGGGAGATTCGCCCGACATCTTGAAGCTGTAGTCGCGGCGATCTCTTCTAATGTGTTGTTGAGTCTCAACGATGATGATGAAGGGAAGTCGGTCCAGGTGTGGGGGTATGGGTACATGTACCACGTTCGCTGAGCCAGGCGGTCGTGTACCTGACGTGGCTGGTGGCTGTGGCCAAGTCGACGTTGCTTCCGGCTGCCTGTAGCTTATTCAGCTGCGTCCGAAGGGTTCCAGAAATTCCGCTACAGGGGTGCCCCGCGGTTCCCGGAGTGGCTGAAGCTCCGAAACCGGTTTAGCGATCTGTTGCGGAGTTCTGTTTGCGGCGACTCAGTCGTCTTGAAGTTGAGTATTGATAGATTTTTGGGGATGGAATGAAGTTGAGGAGAAAGATTGTGAGTTCGAATTGAATTGAAACAGAGGTGGAAGCAAGATGGAAATCCAGGTCTTGTACAGTAATTGACCCAGTGTGTGTGTTTGTTCCTGTTCGAGGCGGGTGCTCTCAAACTTACAAAGCGGGTGCACTCGCCTTCATTGAATTGTGATCACCTTTTTTACCTTAGGTAACTCGCATGGCGAGAGCTTATCCAGTACCAAAAAGGCGAGAGCATCAACTCGTTAAGTCTTCAAATAATTTTTCTTCATAAAATGAGTAGAGAAGAGAAAGCACCCAGGCTGGAATAATTCCTTGTATGTGATGGATTGGGATAGTGCATCTTTGATTCTGTTCTTAACCTGGGTGCTGTGAAAGTTGCAAGGCACACCTTCTAGGGGATTCAGTTGTGCCCATTTTATCTATCTTGCTTGCAACACTGTGAAGGCAAGTGCTCAGGACTCAAAAGGCGAGAGTAGTAGGCTTCTAAGTCACAAGAGACAACAATGACAAGGCATGAGGCGGGTGCTGACAAAGGCATGGAAGTGGATGCACTCGCCTGCATTAAACTGTTCCCATTTTGTTTAACTCACTCAAGAGGTGGGAGCTAACTTCAGGTAATGAGCTTCTACTTAAGGTACCCTATACTTCAACCCAAATAAAGAAAGATACTTATATTGTTTAGAAAATGATGATGCACACGTCTGGCCCACCTCAGATGCTCTCGTACGGCGGCTGCCATCAGAGTCAGCCTGGGCAATTATTCCCAGTCCCCTGCATACATATACTGCGTTCGTCTCACTGGAAGAAGCACCGGCTGAAGTGCTGTTACTGGATTTCCATTATTACTGAATATCCTTTTTGGGATGGGCCATGAAACTCCGTCAATATATTCGTCTAAGAGTCCTTATCCCTGGATCCAGTATTCTTACCAGGCCTAGACGAGTTGCTGTAAAGTACACATGACCAGACTCGCTGTGGGCAGTTCAACAATCAGAACATGTGGTGGAAGTGTTCCATGGGTGGGTATTCTGACGACTCCTGCTCACCCCAAAACCTCAAACCTCACAATTACAGCATTGAGCTTCAGCGAATGGAGCGTCGCTTATAGTGACTTTTTTTTTTGGTTCTGAAAATGCAGATTCACATTCGAGAATGAAATCGACGTCATACACCCCCGATCGCCGTCCAGTAGATCGATCGTAGAAGTTAGGGGTCGCAGAATTGCCCGTGCTTTCCAGAGTTATTTCTACCATGGTATGGTGGTAAGAAAGACCTGTGGAGCTGGTATCGCGAAGACTTGCGGCTCACTCGAGGCTCTGGATTAACTGCTGAATGGCTGTGTGAGTGATGTATCGGCCCTGGTTTGCCTGGCTCGCAAAGACCTGATACTGTGTGTTTATTTTGACCTGGTATCGCAGTATTGGTTTGATACTTTAAAAAGGATCTTTGTGACTTAAATTAGACGTCACATTCGAGGCAATACCGCCCGCAAGTGCGACATGGATATGCAGCTTTGCGAAGGTCTGGTGCCGTTGCTTCTTTCCACGTCGCCCCCTGAGTTGTCGGAACCATGCAAGAGCTAGTGCTCAGCATACGCCGAGGTTTTCTAGCTTCAACTTGGCAAGACTGCGGTGTGGATTGCTTTTTTCATTTAGAGCAGACATCTGTTATCCAGCAAGTAGCAGCACATGTGAGGGCAAAACTGACCTTCGCCTTTGCCAGACAGCTATTTTTGGACAGGACCATGACAGCCAAGGTATGTCTTTAATACGTCGTATGGGCTTTGCGCCTATTCACCTGGAAAAGGAAGGAAATAAATCTTGGAACAAACCTCCGCAATCGACGGAGACCTTGCTTCGTCCCAGCAGAGCCTGGACTATCGCGAAGGGGCCGCTCCAGCGGAGTAACCCGGACTCAATCGGGGTGCCGAAATGCGCGCCGATCCCGTTAATCACCCGCCTAAGTGGCGTGTCAGAAAGAACTTGAGACCGGAGCGACCGCCCCCTCGCATAGATTGTCGAGAGAACCGTATTTTGAGAATATACTCTTTTCATCACATTAGGAAATAATTTCGGTTGTCAGCCACCAACAGACTGCCCAACGATATGACTTGTAAGAATCCCCTGCACGGGGTACAAAATCCGACAACGGAGTACAAATCCCGTCCGCTGCCGCTCATGTGTGCTTCGGACGAACCTCCCAGAGATCTAACGTCCTAACTGGCTTCTACGGTAAACCACTCGCTTCTAGATTTGTATTCGATCATTACCAGTCCACACCATGAAGTCAACTCTGATTGCCGTTGCTCTGGCGCAAACTGCGTAAGTTTTGCTTTCGAGCCCCTTACGATGAGTAGCTGCAGAAGTTGCTAACTTATTGGTTGGTCTGTAGCATTGTCCTTGCCGGTGTGTACAAAGGCTACACTTGCATCATGCCCAACGGCCAAATCAACCCATCAAACAATCTTTGCAATGACGCCTTCGGAACACCTTTGCCGGGTCAAAACGGAGTTGTAAGCTTTTGATTACATGCTCTTTTTTTCTCGAGGCCAACCAGTTCCTAACGAGAGAACAGTGCTGTATTTCCCAGCCAGAGTACAAGACGAGATACGACAAGGGCTGCGCGGATAACCAGGGTAAAGTTAACCAAATCGCCGACTGCTAAGGGAAGTGATGAAGTTGTATACCAAATTTGTATGTAGAGCGCTAGGTCGATATGGATACATGAATGATCTGATTCCTTCTTGAAGGTGCAGATCCAGCCGAGTTAAGCTCAGCAGGATACGATTTCTTTAGCACCCAAATTTTCGAAATGTCTCCTCTTCGATCAAAAGTTTCCACACCATCTCAGACACTGAAAAAATTGCATCAATGGCTTGGGGGACCCCAGATGTCGAAGGAGCCTCATCTTCGTTACTCTCACAAGCCTCTTTGGGTGGAGATGATACCATCAGTGCCAACCCATCCATCAAAGACACCTCCGTGAAAGGAGGGGCAACGAGAGCCGGAACGACAGGGCCTCCATCAACGTCTGTCTCAAATTCCACCCCGGAATACATTTCGTGTCTGGACCACTGGCTCACAACAAAATTCCCAGTGCCGAAATCGAAGTCCATCTTGAGGCGGCTCTTGTCTGGCTGCGCCGCAAACCACTTCGTGTTATTTTCCATGTTCGTCTTGTTCATCGACCGCACCAAGTTATGGATTACTTCGGCCACCTGCCAGAGCTCGCCATCTGCAAGTATGGAATGATCGATGCTGGTGAGGATGGAGAGCGACGCATTGCCAAAGTATGGAGAACCCAGACCAAGCCTCGAAGGATCACGAGTGTCGATTGAACCCCAAAAGCCTTGCCGTAACTGAGAATCGGCTGATGACGACGACACGCCCTGCGCTTCAAGCAGACGGAGACGAGCTCTGTAGATGGCTTGGCACAGGTAAGCTGACACTGACTCAAAGGCGGAGACCCAGCCCTGACCGGAAGGATTCGTTGCCTTTTTCTTGAGCAATGTAAGGACTTCACTGGAGAAGTGCAAGGTGTGACCGACGATAGGGTCCCCATCTGCTGGAACAGCACTTGACGCGATCGGGACCGGCTCGGGCTTCTGATCTTGGGCGTACCAGAACAAGGGGTTGCCATCGAGAGCGGCACGCTTTTCTTCCACAGACATGGCATCGGGCGCTGATGGGTAGTAATTAAGATCCGGCGGCGATGGCAGAGACGAGGATCGGTGGATTGTCGCCCAGGCTCGCACGAACTGGAAGAAGCCGCCAGCGTCACAGACGATATGATGCAGGTGGATCCCCAAAGCCACTCCACCGCACGCGAAGCGAGTATGTTGGACTGCGAGGATGGGGTCCCTGCAGATGCGTTCAATTGTGGCCTCATACGGCGGCATCAAAGCGTTGCCATAGCCCGGCAGGTTCTCAACGATTATGCGACCCGATCTGCTCTGCGCAGCGATGTCGGTAAGGATTGCATCGCATTCTGCCTGCAAAAAGACAACGCCTTTTGAAAAGTTTCCAATCTCGAATGTGTCGGAGCTTTTGTTGAGCTGAAACCGACCAGTGAGATGAGCATAGTGCTTGAGAAGACGTGTGAGTGAAAGTTGTAGTGCTTGCGCCGTCATGAAGCTCGCCAAGGGGCTGGCTTTAGGCCGTTCGTAGACGAAAACTACGTTTGTAGGAACAGTGGGAAAGACCATGTGGTCGATAGGTCCGAGAAGCATCCGAGATCCAAGTCTTGACTCGGCCTCGGGGTTGTATAGCTCGACGACAGAGACGACAGAGGTGGTCATAATAGGCGCTTCAATGAAGGGCAGAAATAATCTTGAAGAAGCACATCCATTTGCATTTCTCTAACTGCATGCAGTTTATACGGCGGCACGATTTAATAACTATATGAGTACTTTGCAGTCACGCTGTTAAATCACTTGTTTGAATTCTGAAACTGCTCATTGTGAGTCATTTGCTGTCGTTGTGTAGCCCCCGCCTAACGCTCATCACCAAGTAGGTAAGCCTATGTCATTACATGACGCGGCAGAGTCAAGCTTAATTCTTTTTTTTCGCCCACTGCCTGAGTGTTTAAACACGACAATGTTTGGGTGTTTTGAGAGAAGCTCCCAAACTGACAGAAAATCTTCCCACCTCTACAAGCAGGATAAACTCATAGCCCTGACTCGATAACTACAGTGAGTAGAAGAATGATTTAAGCAGGCAAATCGGATCTCTCCCTGTCCCAATCGATACCGAGCAGCCAGGAAATACCGTCGAGCGTTACCTCCTTAATCCTCCAACTATGGCACTCTGGCCGCGGCAGTGACACCCACGCTGTGTGGCTCTCCTTCTCGACCGCCGAAGTTCGAGACTCGACACCCGGCAATTCTGAAAGCCATTTGTTGTAAATCAGGCAGTCGTCGCGGAAGGGATCGAGTGTCGTGTAGTAGGTAAAGACCTTCGGCGGGTGGCTCTTGGCAATTTCCGGGTTGGATGAGTCCAAGTGTATGGGCGAGAACCACGGCGTATTGACGGCAGTGCCGAGGAGCTCCTCAAGTTCTCGGACCATTTCACTGGTTTGCCCGGTACCGTCGCCGTTCTCCTCACGGGACTTGAACATCTCCCTGTAACGCGGCGGCAGCATCATCTCGGTGGCGAGCATCGGGATGCCCGAGAAGATCCCTGTGATGGGACTTCTCAAGGGGCTGAGCCCATCGAAGCCATCCGACCCAGCCGCGATCGCCGCCGATATCCCACCGATACTCGCTGCGGCACCACCGCCGGCGCTGAGTCCGCCAATGACAAAGCCGCGATGCAGATCAACTTTGACATCCTCGGCTTCAAGTATTCCGCAGTTCAAGTGCTTCGCATCAGAAAGCCAAGCGCAGACTTCCCAGGCAATCTGTACGGGCGCTGGGAATGGCTGCTCGGGCAGTTGATTGAGGGACGGGCAGGCGACGACAGTTGGAAACATCGACGCGAAGCCTCGGGAGGGTGCAAGGACGATGTCTGGGCTGCCGACAGCGAAACCGCCCCCGTGAAAGTACACGACAAGCGAAGCTTGCAGAGGCGAAGACTGGCCTTCGATGGGCTTTGGCCAAACGATCTTGGTGCGGTTCACCTGTCCATCTTGCAGTGGAATGTCGATGCAAGCCTCGCCTAGATGAGGCGGACAAGGGCCGAGGAGCTCGAGACCGGCGGCCTCGGCTTGGGCCATTGCTCGGCGTTGATCATCGACAGTGCTCATTTTCGTCCACACTGCAACGCGAGAGATTTTAAGAAGTAATGAAAGGATGACCACTGCAGAGATCTAACTGCCTGTGTTTCGTAGGAATGTGGTGTCTTCAGGATGTGGGATGTAAGATGGGGAAAAGAAAAGCAAAGATATCTTGCATTCGCGGCCATGTTATGCCGCCAGTTGCTCCTAGGCAGCAATATTTGGTTGAGAGTTGCGACGCGTCATTGCAATACGCCCGCTGTTCCTATGGAAGCCGATACTCTCGCCTACTATTGGATAGAAGTATCTTGGCGGCGCTCGTATTCTTACCGTAGCTCACCATCACGCGACTGTCACACTGTGCGGTTCTTCCCCAAATTGTTTGTTTGTTTTCCTTAAATCCATGCGCAGTATGCGTAATCACTTACGTGGGTAAAACATATCAAAATGATCATCAGTTCACCTTGTACCAAAATATTTGATCTGCTCCAATTAGGTTTCTATTGATAGCAGTCATGCAGCTGCAGATTCCAAAGACACTGATGTTTGTTGACTAGTGCAATTTATCGTCATATAGTAACCTATTCCTATCTTTCGGTTTTCAATTACTAGGTCACTAAGACGATGCTTGCATTATAAAATCAGGACGCATGAAACCACATCTGGTTTCACTTGTTCTATGACCTTCGTGTCTCATGTATTCCTTTGATTGCTTACTAGTTGATGTTTATTTTATCTTTTTGCCTTTATGTACCTCTATAGTGGCTCATAATTTTCCAGACGGTGCAGTTATAGTAATAGCATAAAGTCCTATGAAATCTTGCCTTAGGCTGGGTAGATCTTAACGAAGTTGAGTGCACCCAACTCCCCACTTTGACATGACCCGTTGCAAGAACAGTACCGAGTATCATGTATGCTTCATTATTCTTACGGCCTCCCAGTGCCACAGAATCAGTCCTTGTACGGTATAATACACCACTATCAAAGGTACTCGAAATGCTTCGCCTGAAGCACTCTATCAACAACATCCTCCGGATCGGTCCCCGCTGTCCTAGCTGTGCCTCTATCGTACCGAATAGGAGACAACAGGTTGGGCCCGGACGCGTGCAAAACATCCTCATGGATGTCAAGTATTTTCCTTTCCCACGACCCCGACAGATTGTTCAACAGACTCTCGAAGTAGCCAGAGATCCATTGGCACAGCTCTACCGGCACCCCGACCGGTGAAAACCTCAATTCTATGCTGAGCGTCTGATCTATCCCCGGGACCGCCGAGATCCAGACGTCAGCCGAGTCTGCGCCTTGCCCGACCCCGATAATCGCGCACTCGGCGTCTCCCAGCTTGATGCTGTCGCCCATCGACTCGTGGTTTTGGAACAGAATAGCCGAGTTGAACCGGCTCGTCCGCCACTGCGTGCATCGTTTTACGATAGAGCGGAACCCGACATGCTGATACGGGAGGGACTGGTTGTACTGGTCTTGCAGCTCCGCGACGAGAGCCGCCATGGTTTTGGTGCCATCGCCCATGGAAGCTCGCATGGGCACCAGATTAATACACGGCCCGGCCACCTGCTCCGCGGTACCGCGAGGAAATGCCCCAGAAAAGCGGTTAGCACTCACGAAACCGAAGACGATGTCAGGGTCCTCGAGCACCCGAGAGAGAACACAGGACCACACGGCTTTCAAGACCGTCGCGGGAGTTCCATTGGGGCTTGCGAGATTCGCGGTCGGCACCTTGAACGATGCAAGATGCTCCTTCTGCTGTGCATCTGACACAGGTTGGTGTTGCCTCGTGCTGCCGCTAGGTGCCAGGGGGTGAGACATGGAACCATTCAGCAAATTTCTCCAGAAATCTTGCCCCTCGGCTACTCTATCAGTCTTGGCAACGTACGACGCCCACTCATGAAAGCTTGGATGCCTCGTCACGATGACCATCCCGGCATAGGCGTTTTTCAGATCACCCAAGAGGTGACCGAGGGAGACGGCGTCGTAGTGAGCATGATGGAAGGTCAGCTTGAGGCGTGTGCAGAGCAACCCACTGTCATCGCTGTGCAGGTCAAAGTGAGGAAGGATATCAAGCATATCCGACGATACCGAGACTCGGTGCTGGCTCGTCTCGCCTGCACGTAGCACGTGAATCTGCTCCACCGGCGGGGTCCGCAGCGTCACCTGCAACAGGGACTGCTTGTTCTGGACGAAGACTGTTCTCAGGATACCGTGGTGGCGGATAACCTGCACGCAGGCTTCCCGCATCCTAGCAAGATCCAGGCTCTGCTGCTGAGCCCCGGGGAGAGGTTCAAGGGTAATAGTTGCAACCATAGTGCCACAGTCGGGAACATGCTCTATGGCGAGCATGAGCGCCTGGAGATCTGTTGCCAAAGAGACGCCCTCGATATTCGACGTGTCTAACCATGTCCTCGTCTTGGCCAGAACGCCCAGGTGAGGGAAATCACGCGGCTGCACAGAGGCGGGCTTCTGCGAGACACCGGCCTTTCGGTCACCTGCAAGCTGGCCAATCTTCAGCGCCATCTCTGCCAGAGTCGGGTGCTTGAAGACATCGACGACGCTGAGACGGTGTCTTGACTTCCTCAGGGCCGTCACAAGCCGCATGGCCCGGATGGAGTTGCCTCCGAGAACGAAGAAGTCATCTTGGGGCCGAATCGACTGAGGTGGAACGCCGAGCAAAGCAGCCCACGTGCGCTGCAGCAACAGCTCGAGATCTGTCAGCTCGCCGCCAGAAGCAGCTTTCGGTTGTGAAAGGCCGGCGACGACCTGCTGCCGTCCGTCAAGACGGTAAGACAGTTTATCTGACGTAGAGAAGCCGCTTGCCATCGTGCGCAGAGCTTTACGATCCGTCTTCATCGGCCCGACCACGGGGAATTTCCGCAAAGGAATGAAGACCTCTGGCACCATGTATGACGGCAACACTTGTCGAAGGGCTGCTGCGGCTGCCTCGGCCGCCTTCGGCATGGCTGAGAGGACGTCGTCGCCGAGCCCTGACGCTGGAACGGTTCCGGCATCCTTGCTCGACACTTGAAAAAATGCAGCCAAGGTTTTCTCTTGGCCTGGGCCTTCGAGAAAGGCGTCGACGACCCATTTCGCGTCTCCCGTCGTCTGTCGGTTGAGGTGGTATTCGATCTCGCCCATCTCAATCCTCTGACCTCTGATCTTGACCTGAGTGTCCTTCCGGCTCTCGTAGACAAAGGAGTCTGCTGCTTTCTGCGTGACGAGATCCCCCGTCTTGTAGAAGCGATGCTGGCCGAGTCCCATATGCGCGAGCTCGGGATGTCGCGTCCACGCAGGCGCATCGATGAAGGCAGCAGCCATTGCCTGAGGGCTGTTCACATACCCGCGGGCGACGATGGGTCCTTCGATGAGGAGCTCACCGGTGGTTCCCATGGGGACCAGCTCGTCGTGGTCTTCCGGGTCGACAACCCAGTACCGGCAGCCAACGGGCGTACCAATGTCCTGGATGATGGCGCCGCTCTCGCTGACGGCAACTGGTCTGCCGCTCGAGATGCCCACCTCGGCCGGGCCGTAAACGTCCATGACGCGAGCGTGAGAGGCCCAGGTGTCCAAGTTCTC